ACATATATCCTCGGCCCGAATACATGCTTTTACTCTCTGTTAACTATCTCACAGAAAATATTATGTGCGTCAACATAAATGCTAATATTTTAACATGCAACTTAGATTAACATGTTTACCGTTTGATGGTTTAAAATTAACACAGTGATTTATTAGCAACTTCGTCTTGAAAAAAATCTCACAGAAACACTTTCTTGCTATACAATAGTAGATACCTACCTATCTTATAGCTCGGTGGCAAGATCTACAGTGCGTCTAAATACTAGCTTTAGTACGTGGTGATCCAGCTGCATAATCAATCTGTCACTAAATATCTTTAACCCTTCACTGGCCTTAGAAGATAGGACTTCGAAACGAGAGCGCGTCATGTCACATTTCATGAAAATCTCTCGGAAAATCTCATACATTTTCAGCTCAGCTCTATTAACTTAGATTTTTTTTTTGCAAACAGCGTTCTATTTTCAACTCCTAGATCCTTAGAGAATCTAACCAAAATTCTTCTATGCCCAGATTCCATCTACTACTATACTAATATTAACCCGGAGGAGGGAATCGAACCCAGAGGTCCCGGGTTCGATTCCCAGTGGGGGCAGATTTTTCTGTTCGGTTCTTGTTCTAAGTTCGCCTGGCTAGCTACCACCATCTTACCTAAGTCTGTCGCCATAACAACAATGTTAACAGCATTATTGTATTCCGGCAGTTAGAGGTAAGATAGCCAGTTCCTACGTAGTTGAGGATTCCGCGTAAAGCTCGCTTCCACCTTCGGCCTGATCGTCACTTACCATCAGGTGAGATACAGGCCAAGAGCTTCCTCGTTGTGGATAAAAAAAAACTAAAACTCGTCAAAACTATTACAGCGTTATTATTTAGTTAGCATTTATTATAATTGCAGTACGGATTAATTTCAAGATAACAAGATCGCTTATTCATAAACAACGGTTAAATGTTATAGGTACACACACAATACGTTATTTTCCCAGCTCACAAATCCGCAAAATTGCCCATCGCAAAAACTAATGTAGCATGGCAAACGTGTGAAAGCGAGGCACACCGTGAGAGACGGGAACAATTATATTATAACATGCGCACGCTCCGATATTCATTCATTACCTAATCGTATGGAGTGCACGTAACACAATACAGCCAGCGTTAGCAGGCTTCGTGTGGCACAAACCTTATTCATTTTAGGGTTCCACGCAAAAAAAAGGAATCCTCCTGGTCTTACGAGTAGTACAAATTATTTGTTGGAATGGAGAGTATAAATCAAAAAAGTTTTGAAATATTCAAATTTTTATAACATTTATGATGATAATGTAGGAACCAGAACGATTTTATAGCTCACTCTGTGGAAGAAAACTACATTTATCTATTAGCAGATCCCTAAAGTGCATAGTTTCATGAAAAACCATACAGCAAAAATATTAAAAAAAACATAGATCTCATAGAAACTCATAAAACTAATTTATTTTTGCAAATAGGCTTTTAAAAAGCACTTCCCAGTATTAACCCTACCACTGCTTCGGGAAAATAAATGGGCCAGTGCTGAGAAGAAGCAGCGCAAGAAACTCAGTCACTATTGTCAGCCTCCTTTTCAAGGGTTTACAGTCTTTAAAATATACAAATTATAGTCATAAGTATTGATGCGAGCTAGGTAGTTAAATATTCCAAACATTTTTATCTTTTATATAATCATCAACTTTATAGTAGCCCTTTGTCATTAAGGTGCTTTTAATATGTGCTTTAAATTTATAAATGGGCATCGTTAAAAACTGTAAAAATTAAGTTCAATAAGTACGGAACCCTAGCAGCATCATGCGGTCCACACAGCTTATGACCGCAGTCTGTGGAGGAACACTATAGTGGTCGCGATCCTCATCAGTGAGGGACCGAGGAAGAAGAAGAAGCATAGAATTGCCGTGAAAATACAATAATCATGCTTTAGTTTAATAGGTACATATTTTGTTTTGTTTTTATTTTGAACTTGAAGCTACTTCATCTGCCTTAATTATTAAACATTTAAAAGCAATTATCACACGAAGGTCTACTAATGAGTTCACTAATTAAGCTAATTTGCAATCCACTGCAAGTGCAGCCGAAACACTGCACTTTTTCAATATTGAATGTGGATTAAAATTAATTTGACGCTTACAGTCAGTTTATATTATGTTAACATACATACCTACTTACCCACATAACATGTTTAACATTTGATTTCATGTAACATAACGTCAGTTTTTCCACCCAGTGGGTCTAGACAAGACAAAGTGTGCATTATAATCGCAAACCAGTCTAGAAATGGTCAAAACGCCTTTTTTGTAAGGAGTTATGACGGATTCGATTTTCGATTCAAAAAGTGCAACTTGTCTAAGAGGCAGATACAATTACTTAAAAGCTCTTTCTGCATTATATACAAAATAAAATCATTGCAACAATATTATGTAGTTTATTTTAGGCCAATGCTTAAGTAAGTTTAGCATTTTTACAAATAAGCAATCATCACTATGAACATAAACTTTCTTTCTGTGACATTTCGATGGCACCACCATGGGTTCCATTCCGCCATTTCCAATTTCACAATGCACGCTAATCCGAATGAGCATTACGGCTGAACCAATACATAATCACAGTAACAGATACGCGAGTAACGGTTCCGGGACGCGCTGTAGAGCGGAACAGCACTAAGTACTAGGTGCCCAAGCGAAAGTGACACCGCAATGCCCTGAGGTTAATCTATTCTCTTGTGATTTGTGAGCTCGAGTCGTATTTTAAAGTAAATAATAAAGTAACGAACCGTTACACGCTGACAATACACCAATTATTTTAGGTCACGCACTTCTATTATGCTGAGGTCGAGTACGTATTTTTAAGACGTTACCACTCTAAAACGTATACGAATTTATTCACAAATTGTGAGAGGCTCGTATAAAAATTGTGCGACTTCGTATGCGAACTATACTCGTACATATTTAATGGTTACAATAGCTATAGGTACCTATTCATAATGCAGCTTTAGCTTTTAAAAAGCTCGTCCTTATCTTTACAGACTTGCACGTAGGCATTATCATTTTCATGATATAACTATCTGTCTGCTGTTGAGTAAAGCTCTATAGACTTTTGAACCACAAAATTATAGAGATAAAGCAAAGAAGAGGAGTAAATTTTTCCGGAGCCCAAAATTTTCCTTATGCTCCTTGTGGAAAAGAATACGATTTAGAAGTACCTACTCATGGTATCTGCTCTCATGTTGAGTAAAGCTCTATAAACTTTTGAACCATCACAAGTGTGGAGATGAAGAGAATAAATGAATTTTCCGCAGCTCAAATTTTCCTTATTTCTAGTATACGACTCAGAAGTACCCAAAGAAATTCCTCCAGCAATTACCATCTCAGCAAAAACGTCTTCGGTACAGATTCTCTTCTAACAAGCGTCGAGCGTGTCCCCATTGCCTGTATTCCGATACACACGTAACAAACTTGTTTCAGCCGCGCCGGTTACTGAGCGCTTGATAGCTTGGTCTCAATTGGGATTCTTAAATGGCAGATAAAACTCCTGATTATTGAGATAAAGGAATCGTTCGTTCGTTTCAGCCTAATGACGTCCACTGCTAGACAAATGCCTCCCCCAAGGTTTTCCACAATGAACGGTCCTGCGCTGCCTGCATCCAGGCTCATCCCGCGACCTTTACCATATTGTCGGTCCTGCTTACGCTACGTCTTCCAGCCCGTGGTCGTCACTCGAGAACTTTTCTGCCCCAAATCGCATCACTGAAATTCATATTCAACGGTTCTATTTTAACCTTGTACTAAGCTATTTTAATGAGGCCATTAACATAGTTAATGAATTCGTTTAAATCGTTGCCATAGAAAAAAAGCACAAACTCCTTTTCATTACGAAAGACCAGCTGAGCCTAGAAGATTAAATGGGACTGCAGCCAGGGAGTTAAGTTCCATTTCATAATCTTCACAAAAAATAAACATGGGTTTTATTAAGTAATCCATAACATAAAATTTCACTTAGAGTTACTTTCTTTTATGTAGTCAATGTATGAGTAGTACTGGCAGTACTACTATGGTAACTCTTCCTATTTATTGAAATATGTAGGTTACATGTGATGTAAAATCCCTATCTATTTCAGCGACTTCAAAGACTCTCCCACCATTGTATGCTTCAATATAATTTGCAATATGACCCACTTACTTTTTATTTGTAGGTCAGCCCACTGACCAGCTTATTGAATAATAAAATTTATTGCACCATTAAAATCAATGCCTTTGCCCGCCATTGTCAATACAAACACATCACATTCAGCAATTCAAATCGAGTTCTAAGTCAAGGACCTGCTTGGGATGCACTCGACAGCTCCTTTGCATAATGTTTAAACTAAAATTTGGTCAAACAGCGGCTTCCGACTTTATGTGGAAACTTAGTCTATCTATAAATATAACATTACAGGTGTCCCAGATAGACTAAAATAGTGGCCTACATAAAGCTTCGAAACTGAGCAGCAATGTGGAACATGACCTAGGAATTGCAAAAAACCTTGGTGGAATAATTGTAGTAGGATTTGATGAAATCTCCAGCAAAGACTGGCATAGTTATATTTCGCGGTGGGATATGGTTAGGTAGGTATATTTACAAAGATGCACCGCACGCCTCTGGTCTCTAGCCAAGTCAACGTCTAGATTGTCGAAACCAACCCTAAAAATAACTTTTGAAAATACTAGGTAGGTATTTGGTCATATGTATTGGTATTGCTGAGTAGCTTACCTAAGTAAGCTTTTGGGTAAAATGTGTTATGAACACACTTTAAATTTTTTAAATCCTACTCCATTTTAAAGCTGTACCAACACATAATCCTTATTAGATGTTGTCAATCAAAATTTGGATGTTAGTTTTGATGAGTCGCCCTACAAGGATCCCACCTGCGACGTGTGGCCGCCAGTGAAAGTGCCGCTGTAACTTCGTAACGGCGTTATGTCACGCGCGCGCGCAGCCGCCGCTCAGTCGTAACCACTATGACGCCGCGCGCGCACCTCTGAGCGACAACCACCGACCAGTGCGGCCAGCATGTGCGTGAAGTTACAATAAAAAAACAAAATGTACCGACTAGTGATATTTTTGAGTGTCATCCTTGTGGCGGCTACTGTCGAGAATGCCCGCGAGGAAAAGTTAAGAAGCGCCTTGATAGACGCTTTTCAGAACATTAAAAAAGCGTCTGCCAAAGGCGGAATCGACGACGAGGGTCCGCTCACGTCGGATCTGATAGGCTCCATATCCTTGCCCAATTCCAGTAGGAATGATAAGACAACTACCGATTCGTTCGATTTGTTCGCGGACGATGAGGGGTTGTCTTTCGGGGACGCGTTCGGAGACGTCGAGAGTGAAAAGAAAGCTCCGACGACGGAGAAGTCTCACAATGTGCAGCACATTGTGAAGACGACGAAGCAGGTGGAGAAAACGACTTCGAATCCGAATAAGGATATTTGGAGCAAACTGAGTGATTCGATAAGGACGACGGTGAACGAGTCGAAGAGTGTGCTGAAGCAAGAGAGTGCGAATATAACGAACTTGTTGGGGATAGAGAGTATGCTGAGAGTGTTCGACGCGGAGATCCTGGTGCACCAGTGGAAGGACCTGCAGAGCGCGGTGGAGGGCCAGTGCAGGGACGACCTGCAGGAGTACGTGGACGGACTGGTCGAGAGGAAGCTCTGGGCACTCAAAAGTAAGTCAAGTATTTTAAATCTTGTTATAAAAGATAATATGGTCTGGCTGGTTTAATGGGATAATTTTCAGCATTAAATTATAGTCTCAGCGCTGTAAAATCTGGATCACCGACAGTTTCAATTGGTTGTATCCTCTTTACCTGCCAATTACTACTGCTAGTTCAATGAAGTTTCTCGCACGTGGCACGGAACATTTGCCACTTGATATTGTTGAAATCCGTGGCTTGGCCTCAGTTGTGTAATCTCGCGAATACATAAAATCTCAGTTATGAAATATTTTAAGAATGAAATCTGCGGTAATTGTGCGTAACGTTTAGTTCTTTAAAAATAAATAAATTATTTTCTTTTAGTTCCTTTTTGAGGTCAACAGCATGGCAAATTTGAGTCATTTCTTCACGGTCCAATCTTTAACAGGAACTTTCGATTTCGTGAACCATCTGTGCTTTTGTTTTATACCTCTAGTAAAAAAACAGTAAACCTCAAATTCTTGATTGTTTTATTGCACAATGCATATCAGACCTAAGTGTTCCAAGCGTTGACCGACATTCTAAACGAGGTTTGTGTGTCCGCCTTTGAAAAACGTTTTCTTCTGTTCGGTTCTTTTTCTTGCTTCTGTGCTGTGCGCGCGCAGTTGCGTAATGGCCGCCAAAAACTCGGAAACCAGGCCATCGGAGAGGTTTTAATAAGACCAAAACAGTTTGTTTACTTGCACAATCTACACCGCATTGTGTTTTTGTGGGTTTTATGTCATAATGAATCAATGATAGCGGTGTATTTAAAGGGTGTTGAGGAACGGTTTTATGGTTAAAGCTAAGATAATCATGGTTTAAAATAAATAACGGATAAATGCACGTTTAAAGTATAAAGAAAATTATACGAGTAATGTATTAAACAGGTGTTAATTTTTTTTTACGGTTACACTTTAAAGTTTTCTGATTAGCTGCCCTCGCCATCAACCATGAAAGGTTCCTAATGTCTTGTATTCAATGTTATTGTAGTGACATGTTTCAGTATTCACAAATACATTTAATATCGCACGTGCACAGCAAAAATAACCAGTAACTGTTTGTTCTAGTTGTTAGTTATATTACACTAATAGTACGAGTGCGCATAGCGAAATAGTTTTTATTGTTTCAACAAACAAAAAAATACACACAATTACTCAACTCTACACTATACTGATGTGTTAATGATGTCCAAAAAATGTTGAAAAGAGAAATTTTTGCTCTTCCTTTTACTAAAAAGCCGAATTTAAAGTTAAACTGAAGTTTTAACATAATTGAAGTAATAGCTAACTGCTTATGAAACATTTAGCTATAAGTTGTTTTTTCTTATTACATATTTATTTTATTCTATTACGAAAACCGACAGATTTAATTTAAGTAACACAAAAACACTTAATATAATTTTGCAACAATAATTAATAATCAAATTAATAATAATTTATATTTCATTATTTATTAACTAGAAACAGAACAATTTATCAACATTTCAGTCACTTGGATGTTAAACACGGATTAAATTTTAGTACGGACGGTGTCACTGGCACATCAATCTAAACATTGCAACTGTAGTGTCTCATGGTTTTAATAAGTGTTATTTTTCCGTAAAGAATCATACTGTATGATCATTAAATTATATCCAGTCAAAGTCAAAAACTTTATTTGTATAGATAGACTGTTAAAAATTGCTTACAAATCGTTAAATATTGAAAGAAAAAAAGGACTAATATAAAAAGAAACAAGTTTTGCTCTTAGGGAAGCCTTTACATGTCTCAATCTTTTTGCCCTAGCACTACTACCTACTAGTATTGACAAATGTTTATCTATTAAACATTATTGTCATAGCAACAGCCAAAACCTTTAAAACTTTGAATCCTAATATTTTTCTTAATTATTTAAATATTTCTAGCAAATAAATATCCTAGCCTTAGCCTTTAAGTGCTTCCCGGTTGGCCAACGAGGCTCGCATTCTTTCCTACTATTGATTTAGTCAATATTGATTGTCTCTACATGATGGATACTGCTCTATTTGAACTAACGTACAGCCCACCGCATTTCCTAGTTAAAGTAATCGTTAGGCTTGAGATCGTAGGGACTAAATTAGTTAGTTTCGCTAACTGTACTACACACGCGCGAGTCAGCAAAGTTTCTTGGCTCATGAAGTGTTTTACAAAAGCCATCATAAGTAGGTATAATTAATGACCTTGAAACAACCATCACATTTTTGAAGTTTTTTATTTCTCATCTCGTTTTTAATTCTCTTCTAAAATAAATGTTATGTAGTAACTTATGTAGTAGAGCAGAACATGTAGAAATAAAAAAATAAGGAACAAGTTATTGAAACCCCTATAAACTGGTACCACCTCGTACATTGATTTGAAATCAAAATTAATTTACCATAGTGAAAACCTTATTGATTTATTATTGCGATAACTACATAGTTTATTTTTTTCTATCTTGCATTTTGGCCATGGCTAGTGTTGAATATATAATATTTGTAAAAACAAATAGACATACAACATAAAGGTAAGCAAATACGAATAGGTACCTTTTTTTGTAAAACTCATTGTGAGATATATTTGTTTATCAACAAATTGACTTAGTAAAAACGTGTGTCCTTATGTGCGACTAAAATAATATAAAGTGGTGAGTAAACATTATTTTTACAGTTTTATAATATAGAGTCGTATTTTTAAAACAAAGAATTTCGATGAAGCTTTGATGATCAGTAATTTAAATTCGAATATTACGTCAAATTGGTCAGCATATTATTGCAATACCTATCCAAGAATACTTGTACCTATATGGAATACAAAAATATAACATAGGTGTTTATTTTATTTTTAGTAAGTATTGTACATTCCAACTTTTTTTTTACTTAACTCTATCATTGTTTTGGGACCGGTGTGCTAAGAAAAAGTATCGCAATCTTTTAACATTGTAACCCCTGTAATGTATAATTCCATAATGCAAGCAGGGTTCGAAAATATCCGATATTTATTATAAATATCAAAATATCGGATATTTATGATATATATCCGATATATATCAACTTTGATATATATCAATTTTGTATGAAAGCCATAATATTATTTTATTGTATTATTCATGAATACTATTGCATATGTGTTACATAAACATGTTTTTAATGTTTTTAAAACTTAAAATCAGACAAATAAAGCAAAAACATAAAATATCTTTGAAATACGGCAAAATCAACTAAAAAAATAAAAATCTTATGTCAAAAAGTACAAATACAGTAACAAATTTTAAAAGTTGATATATATCATCAAAACCGGCTTGATATATATCGGATGGATATATATCCGATATATATCTTGATATATATCCCTTGATATATATCCTCGAACCCTGAATGCAAGTGTCCCAAACAATAACAGAACTGGGCGACCTTACCAGCCATAACACTTGTCCAGATGCACGACCTTCGGCTGCTTTCGTGTTGCCCAACATCTTTCTCAATAGCGCCCGCGCAGTTATGTAATCCGCGCGGACTCACTGAATTCACTAAAGTAACATTATCTTATCCTCCTTTCGCTTTATCATTTTTAATTCAAATCCTGTATGTATTAAGTAGTATGTCTATGTCTCATCAGAGTAGAATAGGCATTTTATTTGTTCCTCTTTATCTATACTAATTTATACTAATATTATAAAGCTAAAGAGTTTATTTGTTTGTTTACTTGAACGCGCTAATCTCCGGAACTACTGGTCCGATTTGAAAAATTCTTTCAGTGTTAGATGGGCTTTATCGAGGAAGGCTATAGGCTATACAACATCACGCTACGGTCAATAGGATCAGAGCAATAATGAAAAAAATTGCGAAAACGGGTTTTCACGCGTACGAAGTCGCGGGCACAGCTAGTAACTTAATAATATTATTGATGTGTCTGTATAATTTAAAGTTTGTTCCAGCGTTTCTTCTCAGCACTTGCCATATGTTTGTCTCGAAGCGCTGGTAGGGCCCAAAAGATAAGGAGACATGTAAAGTGCCCCATAAGGGCTACCTTTTTTTACTATATTTTTACGTTCAGAAGTGCCACGAATGGTCTAAATTGAATAACATATTTTTGATTTGATTTGATTTGAGAGCAACCGCTACGGTTTGAAAAGAGGATGAGAAACACCCCGAGTTTCATTCAAAGTTTAACGCGATCGTGCAAAGTCGCGGGAAAAAATATGTCCTATCTGAAAAATATCTAGTTCCTTACATATTTAACGTATGTAATCATTACAGCACACGCACAAACGAAACCTATTCAAATAATCATAAATGCATTTGAATGGAATATAAATAAATCAAACATTTATCAATCAATATGTAGGTTATTCAACAAAACGTAACGTTATGATTATTCAATATTTAATTGACGGAGATCAATTTATTGAACTGAAGTATAATAAATTTGGTGCAACCTTCTTTGAACCTGTTGTTAATTGTATTGATGTGCTTTATGTAAATAAAAAGCGAAAAAACGTGTATGTAAATGAGTAGTTTCAAACAACTTCTTGTGTACCTACCTACGGTGTAAAATTTTCGCGGTACAGTCAAATTAATCCAATAGCTAACATTTATTTTATTACATTCTTTATTTTATTTATTTAACAATGTTTCAACAGCATTTAATTGTACATACATGTGCAGAAAGACACCATAATTTGTAATCAGTATTAAATTTTATACTTAGTTCTACAAAAGGTGTACTGAGAGCAATCTGTCCCAGGCAATACTCAATCCCATCAAAAACAATACTTGTCAAAAAAACCAAGTCTCGCAACTCAGTTGTTCTACGGTAAAAAGTTGTGAGATCCATGTAATACCAAGTCCAGGCCAGGAAATCTTTAACGTTTTACATAAATTATTGACTTGGCCATCGCACTAAATAATTTTATTTACACGTGTTTTCATGCGATGACCAAGTCTATATATTTATGTAAAACGTTAAAGATTTCCTGGCCTGTAGGCCTAAGATGCG